CAGCACTAGGGCACAGCACAGCAAGGGCAGGGAAATAATAAAGTCAGCACTCAGCATGGCGAGCACCTCTGTTCTACCGGCAGAGGGAGGCGACCCCAGAACAGGGCTTCTCCATTGGTCACGCTCACACCTGCTGCCAGGCAATTCTGTCTTGGGGTTGTCCCGGGCATTGCAGGATGGTGAGCAGTGTCCCTGGTCTCTGGCCACTAGATGCCAGCAGCACCACCTCCTCCCCCATCTGTGACAAGAATGTCTCCAGACATTGCCATATGTTCCCTGGAGGGCAATATCCCCCCTGGTCGACAACCACTGCCCTGGAAAAATTCGTGTGTGAATCTGTGAGCTACTTGCTTTTCACACAGGGCTGAAGAAAAGAGAAGGGATGGAAGGCTGCTTATTTTTTGTTGTTGTTTGAGTCGGAGTCTCACTCTGTTGCCCAGGCTGAAGTGCAGTGGCATGATCACAGCTCACCGCAGCCTCAAACTTCTGGATACAGGCAGTCCTTCCATCTCAGCCTCCTGAGCAGCTGGGACTACAGGCACACGCCACCACACCCTGTTCATTTTTAAAAATTTTTGTAGAGACGAGGTCTCAACTATGTTGTCTCACTATGTTTTGTAGAGACGAGGTCTTGAACTCCTGGGCTCAAGCGATTCTCCTGCCTCGGTCTCCCAAAGTGCTGGGATTGTAGGTGTGTGCCACTGCGCCCAGCCTTTCATCTTACAAAGCTCTGTAGTAATCACTAAGAAAAAAAAAGGCTTAGTCACAAATAGGCAGTTTACCATATATGAATGATAAATGGCCAATCAAAGCACTGAATGGGGTTCACCTCACTAGAAGTTTAAACAGTTCAAATGAGAAAATTGAGATCCCTTAGCAAAGCATTTAAAAACAAATGGGTTATCAGAAGCATGGCAAAACAGATACTCCTATGCACACTGGGTGACTAAATGTGTTAAAATAATTCAGATAAACATACAAGTATGTATATAAAATCATGTATCATCAACACATTAGGTGTAGTAGCAAAAACAAGTAGCCCTTGGCCGGGCACGGTGGCTCATGCCTGTAATCCTAGCACTTTGGGAGGCAGAGATGAGAGGATTGCTTGAGCCCAGGGGTTCAAGATCACCCTGGGTAACTTGGCAAGACGTCTCTACAATAAATAAAAAAAAATTAGCCAGGCATGGTGGCGTGCACCTGTGGTTCCAGTTTCTCAGGAGACTGAGGCAGAAGGATCACCTGAGCCCAGGAGGTTGAGGCCACAGTGATTGTGCCACTGCATTCCAGCCTGGGCGAGAATCAGACCCCAATTAAAACAAAAGAAGGTAACCCAGAAAACAAGCTCCACATCCTCAGTGGGGATTCATGCTGTGACTGCATACCCATGAAACCGACACCACGTGGCCCTGAGATTATGACATAGGCCTGTACATAATGTAGAAGAACATTCATTACAGACTTGCTCTCATGGGGAAAAGGTGTCCTCATTTTTGCCTAGAAAAAATCACGGGGGAAGAGAAATACAGCTGGTACCATCTCTAGGTTGCATGACTTTGGGGTTTTATGACTTTCCTCTTAACAGATTTCTGAACTACCTGCAATTTTTACTCTTTGACATGGGGTTCTATTTTTTTTTTTTTTTTTTTTTTTTTTGGGGT